GGCAACATTTGAAGCAGTCCTTGAAGGATAGGGAAGTATTCAGTAGGTGGTGATGGTTGCTCCAGAGGAAATCGACAACATATGCAAGGCCAGGTGCTAGAAACACCTTGGCGCGCTTAGGGAAGTCCTTGGTGTCAGAGCAGCCGGGGGTTTGGGTTCCTGTTTGGTGCAATGACACCTAAAGCTAGAAGGGGAATGTGACGTCATCAGAGCTCTGACTAGGTCGGGGCAGAGACTCGGGTCAGGCAAAGGAGAATGAAGCCTTAAACATGAATTCATGGCTAGGCGCAGTGGCTCACGTCTATACTCCCAGCACTTTGGAAGGCCAAGGCAGGTGGATCACGAGGTCAGGAGTTCAAGACCAGCCTGGCTAACATGGTGAAACCTGGTCTCTACTAAAAATACAAAAATTAGCCAGGCATGGTGACGGGCACCTGTATTTCTAGCTACTTGGGAGGCTGAGGCAGAGAATTGCTTGAACCTGGAAGGTGGAGTCTGCAGTGAGCTGAGATCATGCCACTGCACTCCAGCCTGGGCGACAGAGTGAGACTCTGTCTCGAAAAAAATAATAAATAAAAAATAATCCATTCATTCATTCATTCGTTCCTCCAACTTGAATCATCTGACTGCATGCCAGACACAGAGCCAGGCACAAAGACACATCTTGACCCCAGGAATGGGAGCAACGTCGGACACTGGGGACCGCCTCGGCCTCCACTGGCCACACTCCAAACCCACCCCTGAGCTCTTCTCTCGGGCTCCCCTCCATGTCCTGACCCCCAACCCTGTGTCACTTGCTCACCTTCCAGACATGCAGCAAGCGTATCTCGAGACGTCCTCACCGTCTCACAAGCTGGAAAAGACCCAGGTGTTTACCCTTGGGATTGGGGTACGGCCAGGATGGGCTGGAGTCAAGGGTGGATGGGATGTTGGTGAGAAACAGAGAGATGGATGGACAGATGGGAGGGACGGAGGAAGGAGTGGGGAAGGGGTGGACAGGTGGATGGCTGGGTGCAGCAGAAGATTCTCCAGGTAGAATTCTCTCACTGGGGTCCCCAGGCCTCCCTTCCTGGGGCAAATCCTTCCCGGTGCTCACCTGTGTACTTGGCCCAGAAAGCATCCTGAAAAACAAGGGCTGGGAGTGAGGCTACGGCAGCTCCTGTTTTGTGTTTAGTAAATGTTATGTCTCCTCCTCACACTTTCCTTTACCCTGGTCATGCAGGGGGCAGGCTCTGGGGAGGTTTGTGGCAGAGTTTCCTACTTTTGTTTCCAAAAGGAGAAGAATATTTGAGGATAGGGCAGTTTCTCCAACACACACACCGAGACTGAACAAGACTGGGGGAGATGGGAGGAGAGGGGGCCGTGGGACCTGGCAGAGCCCTACAGACAGGGAAGGTGACACAGAGCTCCAGGAACACTGAGTCTTGAGTCTGGGGCTTGTGGTGGCCTCCCCAGAGTCCCACCCCTCAAGGGTGGTGCAGGAGGCTGCCGCTAAGGAGGCCATGTGGACACAGAGCCCCAGGGCAGGCGGATGGCTGAAGACTGTGGAGGCCTCCCCACGTCATGGAGCCACACAGGACCCCGGAACCTTGACAGAGTCCAGGCACAGGGACCCCCAGGAAAGGCTGAGGCCACTCCTCTAGCCAGCCCCGTGAGGAGGGGCTCAGAGTTGAAATGAGGCTGTGAGCGGTGAAGGGGCTGTGGCGTTCCTCTCTTGCTTCTCTGTGGAAGTGTCTAGAGTTGGGCCCACTCTGAGGCCCTGGAGCCGTCCGAGCAGCCCAGGCTCACCGTGGCCGTGGAGGACTCCAGAGCCTCGAAGGCCTCCTCGTAGCTGCACATCTCCTCCATGCACTCTCGCTCCAGGTTGCCCTTGAACACCTCCTCCAGGAAGCCGCTGCTGGCTCGCCGGACCCGCTGGAGCAGCGACAGCGCTTGCTGAGGAGCCAGGAACACTTGCTGAGGAGCCAGGAACACTGCAGTGGGGGGGTCATGGGACAGCGGCCTCAGGAGCAGGTGGTCTTGGCCATTGCGGGGGCAGGAAGCAAGCCCGCCCTCCCCTGCTGGCTTCTGAGAGGGGCTGTCTGGGCTGGCGGAAGTGCCTGGAAGGCTGCTAAATATGGCCCCCTGTGCCCCTCCTACACTGCCCCTTGCCCCCAGCCTGCTCCCCATATTGGAAGAGAGAAGCAGCCCTTCTCTTTCCAGTCCTGAGCTCCTGACTTCTTCCCCAAGCTGGCCGCCTGGGGCTGAGACCTACCTAGGGGCCAGCTCTGTGTGCTCTGTCCAGCCAGGAGACCCCGGTCCATGGGCCCACACCCCAATCCTCCAGCCTGTTCCAGCCTGCAAGCACCCCCTTACCATGCTGGCTGTGCACAAGGCTACACAGGACAGCCAGGGCCAGGCAGCCAGGCAGCTGCAGGCCTCGGACGTGCGCCATAGTGTGTCAGCTCCTGGGTCACTGAGGAATTGTCTGTCCTGACCCCTCTGGGTTAATGTTGAACTAACATGAAGAAATCAGCGGAGAGGGTGAGGTCAGAGGGTCAGGGCCATGGGGACGGGTGGGTAGATAGTCCTCCTGTCCACCCCCGCCATCTGGGAGGACAGGTCCTCCTGGGACCAGGGATGGATGGTCTAGGAGGAGTCACAAAAAAAGGTCACTGTCACCCCCATCTCCCACCCTCCCTCTCTGAGACTTAGCCCATTCTGGCCAGTGGGTCTACGAGACTTTCCTGGAGCTCCTTCCAATCCTAACATACAGTGGTGGTTGCCTTTCATCTCTGCGTGCAACAGTTTCCTCATCTGTACAATGGGAATAATACTTTGTTGCGAGGACTAAAGGAGATTAGGAATGGAAAGCCCATGGAATATCGTAAGTTCTTAATAATCAGATCTGCACATATAGGCCAATGTGGGGGTTTGTGTAATCACAATACACAGATATCAAAAATAGAGACAAAGATAAAAGGTGTGACCTGATGGAAGTTGCCCCTCGCCTTGGGATGCACCAGGGATAGGAACAGCCAACATTTGCCCAAGCCTCTCAGCCACTGGAGGAGGGGCCCATTTCTCTTCCTTCCTGTCTGGGGTGCCTGGAGGTGTGTTTGTGTGTGGCAGCTGCCTGGGAGGAGGAGTCAGGTTCAGGGACTCTTGGGCCTTTGGTCTATCTTCTGTCACCTCCCAGGACCTGCACCTGTCCTGGAATAGGGGCTACTCCAAATCCCTGGGTCTCCACTGCATGGCCCTCCTTCTCCCTGGCTGCCTGCCCCAGGCCAGGCCTAGCGAGGCTTCTGGTCCTCCCCTGCCTTCCACCCAGCCCTACTCCTGTCCCTCCCCTGCCTTCCACCCAGCCCTACTCCTGTCCCTCCCCCATTTCCTGTTTGTGGTACCCAAAGCAAATATTAGTCCTGGGTCTAAGTAGGGCAGAGGGACAAAGAGCAGGAACATGGGGAGGCACAAGTTCTCGCCTCGCCTCAACTGTCCTTTGGGCCCAGCTGTTTGGGGTCTAGACCAGGTCATGTGTGGGAACAGGGAGTTTTAGCAGAAAAACTGGGGACCAAGACTCCCACAAACACCTTAATTCCTGGGAGGCCCATTTCTTATATATTTTCATATATATATTTTTAGGCCAGGCACAGCGGCTCACACCTGTCATCCCAGCACTTTGGGAGGCCAACAAGGCAGGATCGCTTGTGGCCAGGAGTTTGAGACCAGCCTGGGCAACATAGCAAGACCCTCATCTCTACCAAAAAAAAATTAAAAATTAGCTGGGAATGGTGGTGCATGCCTGAAGTCTAAGCTACTGGGAGGCTGAGGCAGGAGGATCACTTGAGCCCAGGAGTTCCAGGCTGCAATGAGCTATGATTGTACCACTGCACTCTAGCCTGGGTAACAGAGTAAGGCCCTGTTTCTTTTACTTTCTTTCTTTTCTTTTTTTTTTTTTTTTGAGATGGAGTCTGGCTCTGTCACCCAGGCTGGAGTGCAGTGGAACAATCTTGGCTCACTGCAACTTCCATCTCCCTTGTTCAAGTGATTCTCTTACCTCAGCCTCCCAAGTAGCTGGGATTACAGGCATGTGCCACCACACCTGGCTAATTTTTGTATTTTTAGTAGAGATGGGGTTTCACCACGTTGATCAGGATGGTCTCAAACTCCCGACCTCAGGTGATCTGCCCACCTACACCTTGGCCTCCCAAAGTGCTGGGATTACAGGCGTGAGCCACCATGCCTGGCCTCAATGAGACCCTGTTTCTAAAAAAATAAATTAAAATAAAACAAAATAGAATAAATAAAATTAAATTAAATACAAATACATATTTTGAGTTTTTGTTGTTGTTGTTTTGTTTTGTTTTTTTAGAGATGGAGTCTCGCTCTGCCGCCCAGGCTGGAGTGCAATAGCGAGATCTCAGCTCACTGCAACCTCCACCTCCTGGGTTCAAGCGATTCTCCTGCCTCAGCCCCCCGAATAGCTGGGACTACAGGCACCCGCCATCATGCTCGGCTAATTTTTGTAGTTTTGTAGAGACAGAGTTTCACCACGTTGCCCAGGCTGGTCTTGAACTCCTAACCTCAGGTGATCTGCCCACTTCAGCCTCCCAAAGTGCTGGGATTACAGGCATGAGCCACTGCGACCTACCTGTTGGTTTTTTTGTTTTGTTTTGGTTTTTGGGTTTTTTTTTTGAGATGGAGTCTCTGTCACCCAGAAAGGAGTGCAGTGGCACGATCTCGGCTCACTGCAACCTCTGCCTCCTGAGTACAAGCGATTCTCCTGCCTCAGCCTCCCAAGTAGCTGGGATTATAAGCATGTACCACCCACGCCCAGCTAATTTTGTATTTTTAGTAGAGATGGGGTTCCACCATATTGGTCAGGCTGGTCTCGAACTGCTGACCTCAGGTAATCCACCTGCCTCAGCCTCCCAAAGTGCTGGGATTACAAGCATGAGCCACTGCCCCTCCTCTTTGCAGACTTTTACTCACAGTTGCAGGCCTGCTGAGCATGACATTCTTATACCCAGAAATGGCTATCTTAGTCCGGGCTGCTATAAAATTACTGTAGGCCGGGTGCAGTGGCTCATGTCTCTACTCCCAATACTTTGGGAGGCCAAGGCGGGCCGATCACAAGGTCAGGAGTTCGGGACCAGCCTAGCCAACATGGTGAAAACCTGTCTCTACTAAAAACACATAAATTAGCTAGGCGTGGTGGCACGAGCCTGTAATCCCAGCTACTCGGGAGACTGGGACAAAACAATTGCTTGAACCAGGGAGGCAGAGGTTGCAGTGAGCCAAGAGTGTGCCAATGCACTCCAGCCTAGGTGAAAGAGCAAGACTTCATCTCAAAAAAAAAAAAAAAAAAAATTACAGTAAACTGGGTGGTTTAAAGAATAGACATCTACAAGGGGTCTTCAACAAGTTCATGGAAAATACGTATTATGAAAAACACTGCATAGATTTAAAAAAAATTTTGTGCACCAAAATAAACTCATAATAACTTGCTATAACATGAGTGAACAGGATGTAGTTTGAGGCACTAAGAAGGATAAGACATCAGTTTGAAGCAAGCCCTTATCAGAGCTAAAGGAATTCTGCTAAAATTGAAGCAAGAACAAACAACAAATTTATGGTGAAGCTTGGGTGGAAGAATGGTGAAATCACTGATGCTTTATGAGAAGTTTATGGAGACAATGTCCCAAAGAAATGAGCAGCTTACAAATGGACAACATTTTAAGAAGGGACAAGGCAGGCCGGGCACGGTGGCTCATGCCTGTAATCCCACCACTTCGGGAGGCCAAGGCAGGTGGATCACTTGAGGACAAGAGTTCAAGACCGACCTGGCCAACATGGAGACACCTCGTCTCTACTAAAAATACAAAAATTAGCTGGGCATGGTGGTGTGTGCCTGTAATCTCAGCAATTTGGGAGGCTGAGACAGGAGAATTGCTTGAACCCAGGAGGCGGAGGCTGCAGTGAGCTGAGATAATGCCACTGCACTCCAGCCTGGGTGACAGAGAAAGACTCTGACTCCAAAAAAAAAAAGACATTTTTTTGACAAACAAAAACATTTAAATATAGGTTAGGTGTTTAGTGTACCACCATGGGTGCAGGACCACAATGGACTCAGCACATGCTTAGTCTTCAGGGTCTGATACGAGCCCCCAGCCTTCAGGAACCAACTGTTCATTCTCCTTGGAACTCTGCAGGTCCTAGTTGGTACCATGCAGCCGAGTTCAGCATTCCTGCCTTTCAGCACAAACACGTGCCTGCACACTTAAAGCAGATATATATATATGTGTGTGTGTGTGTGTGTATATATATATCTCTCCGCCTCCCGGGTTCAAGCAGTTCTCCTGTTTCAGCCACCCAAATAGCTGGGATTACAGGTGTGTGCCACCACACCCAGCTAATTTTTGTAATTTTAGTAGAGACAGGGTTTTACCATGCTGGCCAGGCTGGTCTCAAACTCTTGACTTCAGGTGATCTGCCTGCCTTGGCCCCTCAAAGTGCTGGGATTACAGGCATGAGCCACCACACCCGGCCTTAAAGCAGAGGTTCTTTCCCTCTAGGAGCAAGGCCATAACAAAGCAGGGGGCGGGGGATGCATTCCTGCCCAACAAGTTGGCATCAGACAAAATCATGGGTAAAGATCAATGCTAAGTTGTAAAGCAAATCTCTATAACCACTGAAAACAGTAAAATTATGTTCCAAGACATAGTGTTAGAGAATTTCAGGGCTCAAAGAAAGACCAGATATTATTTATTTATTATTAGTATTATTTAGAGACAGAGTTTCGCTCTGTCGCCCAGGCTGGAATGCAGTGGAGTGATCTCGGCTCACTGGAAGCTCTGCCTCCTGGGTTCATGCCATTCTCCTGCCTCAGCCTCCTAAGTAGCTGGGTCTACAGGTGCTCGCCGCCACGCCCAGCTAATTTTTTTTGTATTTTTAGTAGAGACGGGGTTTTACTGTGTTAGCCAGAATGGAGAAAGACCAGATATTATTAAATCCAGCCATTTCCAAGCCTAGGGTTGTGTGCACGTTCTACAGGGTGGCCTTGTCTTTCTGCAAATATTTTGTTAAAACCTCAAAAATTGTGATTTTGCCTTATTAAGACAAAAATGAATTTTTTTCCCTTTCGGCTGAAATTTTTTCTCTTTAGGTAGTTAATAATCTTATGTTTTTCTGAATCTGATCAGCAGTTTTCCATTTTTTATTTCTTATTTCTTTTTTTTTTTTTTTTTTGCCCTTCTGTAGATAGTGACTTAAGTAGTTTTCTATTTTGACTAGAAAATGTGAGTAAGTTGGCCGGGCACAGTGACTCACGCCTGTAATCCCAGCACTTTGAGAGGCCAAGGTGAGCAGAACACTTGAGGTCAGGAGTTTGAAATCAGCCTGGTCAACATGGTGAAATTCTGTCTCTACTAAAAATACAAAAAAATTAGCCGGGCCTGGTGGGCACCTATAATCCCAGCTACTCAGGAGGCTGAGGCAGAAGAATCACTTGAACCCGGGAGGTGGA